CCCCCCCCCCCCCTGCCGCCGAAACGTAGGCAGTAACTTCATTGAAAATTCTACAATTGACAACTGGAATACCTTCCGACAATCTCGTGTTCTCGAAAACGTGATGGGGTTAGTGACATTTCATTTGTACATGCTTTGATCGCTCTAATGTAGTTTATTAATCCGGAAATTAAAAACACGGGAGTGTGATTCACAAAATGCATCTACCGGTATAACAATTATATCATGTGTGGCATAGTCAGTCACCTCCAAAAAACTTCATCACACTTTTCAAACAGAGACAAAACGACCACTGAAGGTGTGACAGAATCTGTCGCCCGTGTACCCAAAGGCCGACTGAAGATGAATGCCATTAAGTTTTATACTTCAATGCCCAATGTATGAAACAGACCTACTGACCTTGAGATTTTATCTCAAGGTCACCAAATTGTAAATGATATTAGTGTTTAACAGTGCTGCCAACAAAGATCATTTTGTCTCCCTTTCCAATATTATATTGAAATCTTTCAAGAAAAGAAGTGAAGAAATTGCTTTGCAAATTTTAATTACGCTGTGTTATGTTACATATATTTGTCAATGTATGCTGTGTTAATGATACATCTGCAAACATTCCAAGAAGTTGTACTTTCCACTTATTCAGAACATTTTATAAGTAATTTAACTAGTACATCTGTCCATTATATAAAGATACTTGCTCATTAACATACTGTATCAAATTATTATATATATTATGTATCATTATTATTATATTATTATATTGTTGAAGGTCATGTTAATCTATGTTCCAGTACAGAAATGAATTCAATCATATAAAAAAAACTTGGTATTATGTCATTAACTGCATACAGTAGTTTCCTCTGATGCTGGTATTCTTACAGAAGTAAAAGTAAGAAAAGCCTCTGTCATTTCCGTCTAATTGGGATTGGAATTACACTGGCAGTTAATTATGGTTCCAAACATCGTGATACTTATCCATTGGTTGGGGGTACAGCAGCACAGTTCGTGGCCGTTGATAGTGCTGCGTGCCTGCGGGTTACACTGGCCACACTGGGGAGTGGTGCTCTCAGTCTGGCAGGTACCCTGTTAACAGAATGTCAGAAAGAGCGCTTTCAGATTAGCAGACTAACAGCAGGGGCAGATTGAGGCCGTCTTCTGGGTCTTCCGGAAGCTGGTCATGTTTTCAAGTTAACATTGACGGGTATCTGAATTTTCTGTCATAAGACGGTCAAAAATGGGGGATGGATCAACAAAGATAATTTGAAAGACCGCCAGAAAAAATTTCTGGATCCGCCCCTGAACAGATCCGCCGATTAAATATGGTCGCCAACTTGAAGGCTTGCTGCATAATTACCGCGTGGAATCTATTCAGTATCTAATTGGGAATTAAGCGGCAAGCTTTTTAGTGGGTCGCCATATTTGATCCACGGGTCTGTTAGTCCGCTATTCGGAATGCGCTCATAGATGTATAAGTTTATGAACACAATCGATAAAGGATGCATGACGTTAACAAAAATGTGGCGCACTATCAGAAAATCCCTAAAATTCTTTGGATGTTTTCCAATGCCTCTTGTAAGTTGCCCTTTTCAGGACCAGTTAATGGATGAGTTTTATGTGCGTTAACATTCCCAATAAAGAGGTGAATCCTGTAACGTAACGTTTAATGTCACTGTTATTAGCCATTTATCAGATTAAAACAAGGTCGTCTGCTGTCAGGGATAGTTAGAAAATGGTTACACGTTCTTCAACAAATAGCCGTGTCATGTTGTAGACCATTTTCGGTCTCCCACAATTTGAACACTGCAGCAATATTTAAATTGCTTATCTAAATTGCGTAGTGTCTATGGATGTAAAAACATTCAGAGAAATCGCATGGTCAAATTAAAATCAAGTAAAAGATGTAATCAACAGATCCTGTTCCACATCCTGTTTTGGAACTTATCTCACGACCAGCCATATTGAGTTTGGTGCATACGGTGAGTCACCAGCTGATCTACTGGTCTTTCAAGAGTTGAGTGAATTATGAATTCTTGAAATGCATTTTGTTTTACAGAAACTTGTTGGCTAAATGCTAAAGATATTGGAGAGAAATCCCATTCAACAATTCCCCTTATAACTCAAAATCAACCATTTTAATTTTGTGGATTTCTACTTCATTTCGGACTGTATGAAGTGCGAACCACACCAATAGTGAGTGCGACCAAATGGGCACTAACCTCACCAGGCTGGTAGCTTAGCACGCTTCTCACCATGTGCGCAAGATTTAAGGCGGTTTGATACGTGATATGAAGGCATATATTAGGTAAAAAAGCCCTTTTTCTGTTTCCTTTATGTGGAATTTTTATCTTGATATCAGTGCAATAAAAATAAACACATTAAAGCACGAATATCCCTCTCCTTGCTGTATGCACCACACACGTGCTTCTGCACATTTTGCGTTAATCGTCCATATTACTGATTTGCAAAATGGCGTGAGGTAGTGGGTGGTTTCCCACGTAACTCTGTAACTAAGTAAGATCTTATTATCAAAATTGGCATCACTGACGACTAGGGCGTGAACTACCCTCTACCAGGGCGATAGATAGATTTTTACAGATATTCACAGATATGTGTCTAGATAGATAGACGGTCATTTTAGAGCGCTGAAGCTAGTGTCTAGTTTCTAGTTTCCAGTTTCGTTTTTCAAAAACGAACCTGGCAACCAGAAACTAGTGTCGTTTTTCAAAAACGAACCTGGCAACCAGAAACTAGTGTCGTTTTTCAAAAACGATTCTGGCAACCAGAAACTAGTGTCGTTTTTCAAAAAACGATTCTGGCAACCAGAAACTAGTGTCGTTTTTCAAAAAACGATTCTGGCATCCATAAACTAGTGTCGTTTTTCAAAAACGATTCTGGCAACCAGAAACTAGTGTCGTTTTTCAAAAACGATTCTGAGAAGCCAGAATCGTTTTTGCGGAGAGAAACAGGGGTGGGCAGAGGGAGAGGCAACAAACGGTGTGCGTGTACCGCGACTAGGTAACCCTCACCGCGAAAGCCGGGCAGGGTTTTACGGTCTCTCGTCGACGTGCGCTGAGACCGAGACGGTCGCCGATTATTGCCTATGGGGTACGGGCAACTCTCATCGCAGAAGCTTGAAAGCGTGTTTACAGTGTAACGGTCTTTCCTCGCCTCGCTGGGAGGCCGAGTTGACCGCCGCTAACAGTGGGGGTGGGGGTGGGAGAATAAGGGTGAGTTGAAGAGCGGGAAGGGCCCCAGGGACCTCCCTTTGTAGTTTGAATTGTAATTTTTAATTTTATTGAATTTTTCAAAAACGACTCTGATGCCCAGAGACCAGTGTCGTTTTTTGAAAAACGATTCTGGCAACCAGAAACCAGTGTCGTTTTTCGAAAAACGATTCTGGCAACCAGAAACCAGTGTCGTTTTTCAAAAACGATTCTGAGCAGCCAGAATCGTTTTTGCGGAGAGAAACAGGGGTGGACGGAGGAGAAGCAAGCAGCGGTGAGCGTATACCGCGACTAGGTAACCCTCACCGCGAAAGCCGCGCAGGGTTTTACGGTATCTCCTCGACGTGCGCTGAGACCGAGACCGTCGCCGATTATTGCCTACAGGGTACGGGCAACTCTTATCAAAGAATATACCGCCTCTCTCGCTCGTGTGGCCGCAGATCCGCATCAGCGCGCACAGGCAGCTTTCACCGCTAGGTACTAGGTATTCAGGGAGTTACGTTATTTATTTATTTATTTATTTTATTTTTTTATTTTTTATTTTTTATTTTTATTTTTTATTCATTTTTTTTTTTTTTTTTTTTTTGTTACGCTCTCTCGAGACGTCCGCCGATCGATGTCTATCGATGATGCGGTGAAGTCGATCTGTGCACCGCAGCTAGACATCGATCGGCGGACGTCTCGAGAGAGCGTATCACCCTGCCCAGATACGCAGGGAGGTTTACCTGGTCGCGGTAGACACTAATGCATTGCCAGTTCCCTCTCCCTACGTCCACCCCTGTTTCTCTCAGCAAAAGCGATTCTGGCTTCTCAGAATCGTTTTCAAAGAAAAAAAAACGACACTGATTTCCGATTACCAGAATCGTTTTTTTATTATTATTATTCAATAAAATTAAAAACTATACCTCTAACTACAAAGAGTGAGCCCTAGGGCCCTTCCCCCTTTTTCCTCTCATCCGCCCACCGTTCACGGCTTACGCTATGAAGGCGGCCTGTAAGGCGGCCGGTCATCTGGTCCTCGCCGCAAAACGAGAAAAAAAAAGCGTAACTCCCTGAATACCTACGCTATGAAAGCTGCCTGTGCGGCGCTGATGCAGATCAGCGGCCACACGAGCGAGACAGGCGTTATATTCAGCACAGCTTCCTCGGTGAAGGCTACCTGTACGCTGTAGGCAATAATCGGCGACCGTCTCGGTCTCAGCGCACGTGGAGGAGAGACCGTAACAGTTTGCCCAGCTTTCGCGGTGAGGGTTACCTAGTCGCAGTAAACGCTCGCTGCTGCTTGCTTCTCCCTCTGCCCACCCCTGTATCTCTCCGCAAAAACATTTCTGGCTCCTCAGAACCGTTTTTGAAAAACGACACTAGTTTCTGGTTGCCAGAATCGTTTTTCAAAAAACGACACTGGTTTCTGGTTGCCAGAATCGTTTTTCAAAAAACGACACTGGTTTCTGGTTATCAGGATCGTTTTTCGAAAAATTCAATAACATTAAAAATCATACTTCAAACTGTGAAGGGAGCCCCCCCCGGGGGCCGCTTTCCCCTTTCCCCTCTTCAACCTCACCCTTAATCCCCCACACCCACCCCCACCCCCACCCCTACTTAAACTCCATTCCCGGCTTCCACTGTGCAGGCTGCCTATGACTTGTAGCGGCGGTCAACTCAGCCTCCCAGCGCGGCGAGGAAAGACCGTAACACTGTAAACACCCTTTCAAGCTTCTGCGATGAGAGTTGCCCGTACCCGTAGGCAATAAACGGCGCACGTGGAGGAGAGACCATAAAACCCTGCCCGGCTTTCGTGGTGAGGGTTACCCAATCGCGGTACACGCTCACCGCTGCTTGCCTCTCCCTCTGCCCACCCCTGTTTCTCTCCGCAAAAACGATTCTGGCTTCTCTTTTTGAAAAACGACACTAGTTTCTGGTTGCCAGAATCGTTTTTCAAAAAACGACACTGGTCTCTGGGCATCAGAATCGTTTTTGAAAAATTCAATAAAATTAAAAATTACACATCAAACTACAAAGGGAGGCCCCGGGGCCCCTTCCCCCTATTCAACTCACCCTTATTCCCCCACCCCCACCACTACTTAAACTCCATTCCCGGCTTCCACTGTGCAGGCTGCCTGTGACTTGTAGCGGCGGTCAACTCGGCCTCCCAGCGCGGCGAGGAAAGACCGTAACACTGTAAACACCCTGTCAAGCTTCTGCGATGAGGGTTGCCCGTACCCCGTAGGCAATAATCGGCGACGGTCTCGGTCTCAGCGCCAGTCGAGGAGATACCGTAAAACCCTGCCCGGCTTTCGCAGTGAGGGTTACCTAGTCGCGGTATACGCTCACCGCTGCTTGCTTCTCCTCCGTCCACACCTGTTTCTCTCCGCAAAAACGATTCTGGCTGCTCAGAATCGTTTTTGAAAAACGACACTGGTTTCTGGTTGCCAGAATCGTTTTTCAAAAAACGACACTGGTCTCTGGGCATCAGAGTCGTTTTTGAAAAATTCAATAAAATTAAAAATTACAATTCAAACTACAAAGGGAGGCCCCGGGGGCCCTTCCCGCTCTTCAACTCACCCTTATTCTCCCACCCCCAACCCCACCCGCACTTAAACTCCATTCCCGGCTACCACTGTCCAGGCTGCCTGTGACTGTTAGCGGTGGTCAACTCGGCCTCCCAGCGAGGCGAGGAAAGACCGTTACACTGTAAACACGCTGTCAAGCTTCTGCGATGAGAGTTGCCCGTACCCCGTAGGCAATAATCGGCGACCGTCTCGGTCTCAGCGCACGTCGACGAGAGACCGTAAAACCCTGCCCGGCTTTCGCGGTGAGGGTTACCTAGTCGCGGTACACGCACACCCTCTGCCCACCCCTGTTTCTCTCCGCAAAAACGATTCTGGCTTCTCAGAATCGTTTTTGAAAACGACACTAGTTTCTGGTTGCCAGAATCGTTTTTGAAAAACGACACTAGTTTCTGGTTGCCAGAATCGTTTTTGAAAAACGACACTAGTTTCTGGTTGCCAGGTTCGTTTTTGAAAAACGACACTAGTTTCTGGTTGCCAGGTTCGTTTTTGAAAAACGAAACTGGAAACTAGAAACTAGACACTAACTTCAGCGCTCTGTCATTTTGGTCTGTAGTCAAGATTTTTCAACAGGGTGACTACAGACCAAAATGACCGTCTATCTATCTAGAGACATATCTGTGAATATCTGTAAAAAATCTATCTGTCGCCCTGGTAGAGGGTAGGCGTGAACTATGATCTGGTGACAGTGTTTGACTTAAAAGCGTTTCGATGAGGAGATACAACCCCCTGTTTATATAGATACTAGGTTCAATGAAACAAAGGGATTAGTTCGCTTCTTTCCTGACAAAATCAGAAGCCTTACAAGGAAATTTCATGGCACCAGTTTGTTGTACACATTGTTGTAATTGCATAGGCCTATAATAGAGTGTTGATAGCTTTACAAGTGAGGGCGATCTGTTTGAAAGCAATATTACAATTTTTAACCCACAAAACGATGCTGAAACATCATCAGCTCAAATTAGCAAATTCTCACCGACGTACTTTTGATGCAACAGCAATATCACACAACACAAAACAACTGCTTAGTGCCCATTACCTGAGCGGATAAGGCAAAAAAATCTTTACTTGCCGAATCCCGTTCAGTTATGGGTTGATTAAAACACTCACCACTACAGGAGGAGCGGTAGGACATTGGCACAAGAAGAAGGTTCCAAACGAAGCTGTTGATGGAGTGGCGCATCCCTGGCAGCAGTAACCAGCGTTGCCCCCAGAACACTGGGAACAATAATTGGGATCCTGTATACAGTTACCCAAAAATACGACGCTTCCTGAAAGTAAATGCAATGCATTACCACCAAAATTATTGTATTAAAATGCTTATTATTGAAAAAAAAAAACAGTTTTGACTCATTTAAATGATGCGCATTGTCCGCAATATCAAAATTATGTGTACACCATGGGCCTATGCGTAAGAACCTACAAATTACAATGTCAGTATTAATATATAGCACTACAAAAAGGTGGGTGAATTTTCTGTGGTTTGTATAGCAAAAAGAATCATACTGTCCCATTTATAGTTACCCTGCTTAAAGTAATCATCCCAGAACTTTGGCGAGAAAACAAATTTACTTTATATTTAATTTATTATTATTACTATTTTTGGCGCCGTCAACAATATTAAAGTTGTAATGACTATGATTACTTCTCATTTTGGAGTCAATTTAATCTTGAAAATGGGTTTTGAAAGAACACAGTTTGTGACATCACGTTGAATTCCAAACCCTAACATTCATTTGGAGAGGATACTTTTGGTAGGTAGTACACGTACATGTATTAACCTGGACTTCATATTAAAATACATTTTTTTTCATGGGAATAGCTTTTAAACTAAGATTGGCTTTGGTACACATGTATTGCCTATTTAAAAGGAAAATATTACATTTTTATACATACCAAAATTTGTTCGAATTTAAAAGACAAAGTAAAGAAAAAAGTAATTATCTTTAATTTTTTTCCTAGAAGAACGGAATGCTGTGGAATCCTATCAAAATGTTCAAACGTCAAATTTCACTCGCACGTTTGATGTTTCGGTACTAAATCTTAAAGAATATGCTATCGATCCTCACTATAGTCGAACTTACTTGCGTTATCGATGAGCATAGCGACACAAAAGACGACAAACAGGCAAGTGCGCAGCATCATCTTGAGATGAGAGAATCGAAGGAGAACCTCAAATTCGGATGAATCCAGTAAGTCAAGCTAGCGATTTAATTCTTCGTTCAAAAAAGCGCGACTTTTATTTGTGAACGCTGTGAGGCGCGGCAGATTAATGCATAAATGATTCCAAAAAATTGGGCAAGTCCATGTACCATGACCTGCGCATGGCCTGCATAAAAAGTAGTTGTTGCATAATATCGGGCCCAGTGCTGGAGGCAAGGGGATTCAGAGAGGGGAGGTGGATAGATAGAATCGGTCTTCTGGCCGAAGAAATCCACTTTGAATCAAAATGTTAAGTATGCTTTACATGTTTTACATCTCTCAAAATGGGGTTTATTAAGGAGATAAAAAGGTCACTTTTAAGAAATAGAAGCTTTCTGTGAAATTGCTGCCTATAACCTGTTTTCGCCAACCTCCGTTACGCAAAAGGGAGTAAAGCAAGGGAATACACTAAGGTTTAGCACATTAGCCTCGCATGCATTAATAGTATGGGTACTGTTCACCCAGCCTAAACGGGACTCAAGGCCAGGGACTATTTTACACTTGGACTGGGTTCCCATCCCTAGATGGATCTAACAGTATCAATCCATCTCCGATCCATCTAAGCGGCTTACATGTCTGGCACGCCTACTAAAGCTGCTAAACGATGATTAATTACATCCTAGCAGCTTAGTAGGTGTGACAGACATCTAAGCCGCTTAAGATGACTGCAATTTAGCAAGAATCCCCTTGGAGATAGATCGATCCACAGTTAGTACGATAGGGCCTGGGAATGGTCCCTTATTCTCATGACATCTCTGCTCAAGGGCCGAGATAAAACTTTGGTAATTAAGAACATTTCCGCTATAGGTGATATATCGTTAACTTCAAATTCTGTTATTCAGAGCCAAACTCAAAATTAAGAAGGCAAATGTGTTTTTGTCTGAAAACTATTTCTCGTTGGGGAATCTAATTCGTCTTAATATACATGTAATGTACGGTATTTAATATACGATCTGCTACTAAGAATATCTGGCAGTTTTGCAGAACCACAGGCCCATCTCCACAAACGACCAACAAATACCCTAGCCTATTTTAATAGGCTTTATAAAAAAGCTTTATAAAGAATCCAACTCCGTAAATCTCGGGTGCATCCGGGTTAGTCTACCCCGCCGCGTGCATCCCATTTTCCTTTCTCAAAATGTGCTTCAAATCCAGTTCAGGACATGTTTTTCTCAGCATTTAATGTGCCCACCTTACATGCAAATAAAAAAGGTTACCTAAGTCAAACATATTGCCCGAAAAAGGTAGCATCAAAGTATTTCTTTAATTTTTCATTATTTTCATTTTTACTTTTTCTGTATTAGAAATCTTTTCTGTGTACCGTACATCCCCAGTACTGATTTCATAAGGTTAGTTTCAGTCAGTTCATTTTAAGTTCTAAGTGTTTCACGATATGATTTCTAGCTCTGTGTCGTTTTTCTTTTTTTTTTCTTTTATTTCTTCTTTTCCTAGTTAGGTTTGGCAACCTTGATCCTGCCAGACCAAAGCTTACAGAATTGTTAAAAATAAAGTGAGTTAGTGAAAGAGAAATCGAGCATTTCCCATGACACAGGATTGTACTGTTGATCGTGCTGCCACCTATCGGTTGCAAATGACATTTTGTTGATGGACAATTATTTTTCTTTCTGGCAACTCGGCGTTATTTTTAGACCGGTGGATTAAACTAGTAGAAAACTGCTTTTTTTCGCGTGTTTGTATATTTTTGATGCTCAAGTTATTTATCTTAAAAAATATTAAAACACGTATTATTTAGAAACCTTATGCTTTGACTGGTGATAGTGCAGTATTTTTGATATCCTACTTGTAGGCCTACTCATATTCATACAAATGTTGGGTAGTATGTTGTTTATTCAAACCACCAGACCAGAATTATACATTATTTCACTTTTTGAATATTTGGTAAGAAAGACATATTAGATTGACGTAACTGTTCAAAATTCTCAATGTATTTGAAACACTAATTTTCTTAGAACACGGCTAGCTGCTAGCATTTTTATTATTATTAAAGTCAAAGTTTATATTAATTTGACCTAGCCACATCATAAACAATAGATAGATACAGTACCAAAGTCTTTCCATTTTAGAAATTGTGTGTATACTTATGGTGCCTTCTCATAAAACACTATAATTCAAACCGAAGCGTCCGCGCGGAAAGTAGGTGACCTCTTTATCATTATGTGAATCAGGTGAGCGTTTTGGTGAGAGGTGCTCAGATAGGACCATGGTCAGTAGGTCAGTAGAAGATGGAGAAGAAGGATGTTTCATGCCATTTTACTGCTACTGCCACATGTAGGCCAAAATGATGCCACCGAAACCGGCAGCAGTACTAGAATCGCGTAAGTTCCCTACAGATGATAGAAAATGTGTTGTACATAGGATTTCTTAGTTTTGCAGTGACGATATTTTCCCGAAATGGCGCACCCTAGGCATAATGACCATGGGGACATCTAACTGACGTGAAGGATCCTTTTCTTAAATCTTTTGGGCATCCTTTTGTTTTTGACACCATTAGCTTTCCATGAGGGTTCAATATATATAATTTAAATAATTTTGAAGCTTTACTGTGATTTGTTAATTATAACGCTAAGGATACTGACACGAATTGCTGTAATGAACATGTACAGCTTTATCAGATTTTAAGACATTGTTTCATGAATATGAATTAATTCCTTTCATTTTAGTGACTCTTAGTAGCGTTTACGAAGATACCAGTAGCGTCCTACTCCAAGACACGTTTCATGTTCAACACATACAGCCACACACCCGTGCCAAGATTGCCGACGTTTGTCTGCTCGTTAATTTCAATTTGCAGGGGCGACATTTAGTACGGAATTTTATGTTTGCTTTTGGTCGTAAAATTCTGCTTCAAAACATATCAAATTAAACATCACTTTAAAAGTCGAATAAAATTCGTTTTTTTTTAAATTTTTGAAACTTCTCATAAAAATTAAATCCATACTAAGTATCCGCCCTGCGTGATGCTGGTTTGCTGGTAATCATACATGTATGTTACTATGACGTAGTACAGTGCTCTATATGATCATAGTGTTAAGAAACCTGAAGCGTTAGATTTGAAGTTCCCATTTAACAGAAATAATGTCTGTATAGAATGATAAAATGATTGTTTTAAAATTATCATATATTAATTTCCAAGAAGAGAAATGTTTTCTATTTGTCACTGAAAATATGTGTGGGCAAATCTGCAACTTGACACCTCGCTGTAAACTTGAAAATTACTTATTCATTTTAAATGATGTTGACTTCTGGGAAGGAAAGGCACTGCAACCGCATTACGTTAAATGTATGTAGGAAACGTTTAATTGCATTTATCGTTTCTTCAGTCGAAAAAAGAGGAATAGATGTAAATCAACTAAAGACACTCATAATAAAACGTATAAAAAACGCCTTAGAAATCCCAACATTAACTGGCAAAATGTGCCCACGTTACTGCAGAATTGTCCACATGTACTGTAATGATCTTTAACAATTACGAATGTGGCACTGTGGCTGTGAATTAACTTCCTCTGGTTCTCAGTGTTTTCAGTGCTGGTCGGGGAT